TAATAATATTAGGGTCGTTAATTTTTTGTTATGTTTTAACCACAGCGGCGACGGACCGTCCCACGCACATGGTCGTCTTCATCGCCACGTTACGGCAGTAGGTGTTTGTCGGTCCGCGCCTTTAGGGGGCTTTATTAATTTCCATCGAGTTATTAGACAACCATATTAAAAAAAAAATCCCCCGACCCTAAGTCTATTAACAATAAATTAGTTGAGCTTCCCGTAATTCTATACCCGCGTTGTACGTTCGTATATACAGTGTGCGTCCAAGACATACTAGACTTTTTTTTTTTATTCAATTTCGTTGTATTTTTATTTTTCATGTATATTTGAGTTCCAAAGATAAATATTGTGTTTAAGTTCACGTTCATTATTTTATCTAACATAGCGATTTTGAAAAAAACCCAAAGTAATTCAATATATAGTTATCATGCATAATGTATTTTCAAAGTTTATTTTATTTATAAAATATCGATAATTTACGTACTATAATTTATTCATTGATTTTTATATTCCATTTTTGTACTTTTTATTCCAACGCCTGCTTAAGTACCAATTTACTATTAATTATATACCTAGTAATTTTTAATAAATATTCTAAAAATATTTCATGTAATTTGAGTGGAAATGAAACTGAAAAACTACTCAGGTATATAAGTATATAGATATATATCAACTTATAGTATACTGTTATTAGTACTCACCATTATGTAAAGTTACATATGGATATTGAATATTATGTGTATATATATATAGGTAATACGTTTAATTATATACTATCGTTTTAAGAGTTTTATGGCGTGAAACCTAATTTCGTTGATATTGGTTACCCTAAACATATTTAAATTAATAAACTGCAAATAATAGGAACCTTGTTATAATATACCTATATGCTACAAGAAGGCCCGATAAATATATTTTGTAATGGTTTTCGAGAGATTAAGGACGATACGACGCACGATCGGTAAATTTCGTTAAAAAACAAACGCGAACGTAAATTATTGGATCCGAACGACCCCTACACACTCAGCTTAACTCGATTTAAGACTAATTGGATAACATTACCGGTTGGAAAATTATAATCGATTTTTATCCGTTTAAAAACTTTTCGAGTAGCTCGCCGCGAAAACGAGGATTTATTGAGTCGAACAAACCCACAGCTACCACGCCATTATGTATACTATAGTTACCCAGAAATCGTTTAAACAGAATATACCTATATATGTCTAACCGGTAAACAAAAATGCGTTTCGTGCTCAGCGTCCTAAACCGTTTAAGAGAAACGGATAAAATTCGGATAGATGTATCTACTTCTTAATTATTGAAACGTACTGAACGAATCTCTTTTTCTTAGCTTTATTTTTTTTTAAATAGAATCTCATTAACACTTCATTCTATTATGACCTCCGGCGAAAAGTGACCATCGGTAGCATGTCGTCATTGATTGTTGTTGTTCGTTCTAATAATTATCGTACCAATAAAATGTTTTATTTATCATCTATAAAATATCTCCGGGCGTTTGATATCCTCCCGACGCATACGATAATATACACGTATACATATAGTGGAAAAGTTTGTTAGAGAAGACGTGAATACTCAATAATCGTTCATGATTGATCATCGTTTTTAATATTAATGATCACGAAGCGTGTAATTTACGTAATCATATTTGACACGAAAATAAACTAACGGTAACGAAACAATATAGTTATGACGTGTAATAACGTTCTAATAAATATTTTATTTTTTTAAGTCAGATAAATAATAATAATCGGAAAAACATATAATACGTACGTATCCATAACTATATTATTCATTATAATGTATGCATATTTTATTTTCTATATGGTGCGTAGGCCCTTGAGCTACGTGGAAACACTCAAACACTAAATACAAAACTACAAAATGTCTTTCGAAACCTCCCCAGAAAATTGTGTAACATCGCTTTAGGCGATAATGAAGCTGTGTACAATAATGATGCAAATGTGCAGCGATGTCATTTATTTTTATTTTTTGCCTTTTAAGTTTAAATTGTGCGCACGTTCATCTCTGTAAAGGGATGAGCAGATTTATTAAAAAGTCTTAAGGGGGGTCATATACACTTGTACCCGATTACTTTCACCTTTTATAGTTTTGTTTGCTCTGCTACTGAATCTTTTGAACTGTAAACTAATTTTGTTGCCTATATTGCAGTCTTGTCACAGACTTCGTTTTCTACCTCTGCAACCGACAGAAGCGACCCTTCAAAATAAAATTCTTGAAAAAAAGATTATTGTATTCTTTTACTAAATAAAGATATAATACTTAATAATATAGATACATCAAAAAAATTATCTCTGACAAGATAAATTTGTCAAGAATAAATCAACAAGATTATTTTTTACATTTATGCGTAAAAGTAAAAATAATTTTAAATCATATGTGACTATGCGTGTACGCCGTACGGGTTTGCGTGTGTGCGTGTTAGTGAGTGTGATTGTGCGTATATAACGTTTACTAAATCCATTCTATATAGTATACCTACTTATAGTTATAATAATGATGCAATAATAGTTCTATGTTTGTAAATCAATCGCAGCAACGCGGGGAGCCATGACAGTCCGTAGGTGCAGTCCATTAAGCGGTTCACACTGTTCAACGATTCTGAAACAAATTCGTTTCAAAATCTTTGTGAAAAATTAATGTATAAATACAACAACATAACGTTAGGCTATTTATTAAACTACATTTGGAACACATTATATTATAGAACCTATAAATTAAGACAGTTTCAACAATTTGTAATTAACACAATTCATCTATATTAATTTACGTATCCATAAAGGAAATAACCTAATATAAAATATGTTCTAAATACAAAGGCAATTATTATATTTTATATTAAGTGCATAATATACAATATAATGGTGTCAGCGTAGTTACATGTATAATGGGTCTTGTATATAAATAGTAATTATATTATAGAAATTTATGATAATTTTGTCTACATGAATTGTCAACTCTAATAAAACACTTAAAATTTTAACATTTATATTATTGCCATTTTAATTATATATTTTAATTTACTGTATAAATTTAGGGTAAAATATCCAACACGTCACTTCACACTCTGTGTACTCATTAGTTATAATACAATTGATTAAATGTTTTTTTTTTTATGAACGGTAATACGAGTTAAGAAATGTAATCTCCAATCACCCATCTATACAGTATTAATGTATATATCGTTAAATTCGTTAGGGTTTTTTTTTATTCTATTTATTTTTATTACCCATAGGTACATGAATATTTTGAATTTGATTTTTTTATTTGTTGGATCTTATTCATAGTCCGTAGATTTTTTTTATTAATATAGAAATTCTCTTATATGACTATTCTATCCTTGAATAACTGATTACCATTTTAGTGTTTTAATTTATGAATACAAATTACATAATAATCATAATGAATTCTATACCTATAACATTTTTATACTACATAATCAATCATAAAATATAATACCTAATTTATTAAAAATACAATCATTGATTTATTTAATCATCATAGTTTAAACAAAATTATGATTAACCAAGAAGAGAGTATTTTTTTCCCATTAAACACAATTAAAAAATACTAAATATACTATCTAATATCTAGGTAGGTACCTACTTATTTTATATGAAGATTTAATGGTGTACCATGTAAATTGTACAATATAGGAAGGTGGTTATGATGTATACTATGTATAATTTTAATTATTACTGATTAACTTGTTATATTTAATTTTTATATCATGACTTTTTTTATTTTTTAAGTATAGACTATAAATAAAATTTTTAACCCAAAAGAGAAAATAAAAATATTTTTTTTATTTGGTGTAATATGTTTGGCAGCGTACTAATAAATATAATTTAGCTATAAATAAAAACAAAATATAATTGGAAATTGTTAAAAGTATATAATTATTATTATTTATTGTTATATTGTGAAGTGCGACGTCATTATTAAAATTGTTTTAGGGTGTTTGACGGGTGTGTCCGTAACTAACCGGTGGGCTTATTGGAAATTCTTCCAATAATTAATTTCATCCGGTAAATAAAATTTCTACAATATCCATTTATTATGGTAATTTTCCAAGGAATTAAATTCACCAATTGTCTGATTGGCAATTAAATATTTAAAAATAAATAAAATACTTTTAAACTTATGCCCGAGGATTAATGCGATTTTGAGCCGAATTCACGCAATGAAAACTAATTTTACAGTACATTTGTCGAATATTCTAGTTTGTTTTTCATAGTATAACAGTAATATATCTTTTACCAAACAGTGACCTGTATTTGGATACCACTAGTGCACAATTCTACTGGATTCACTATAGTTACCCTCCGTTTTTTCATCCCTCGAGGCACCAGTGATTTAGCATCTCCTTAAAAAACTCTTATCTGATATACGTACACTTATCTCAGGTCCTTTTCTAAATTACGATTCTATAAATTTATCGCAGAAATATATCGATTTTGGTTAAGACTCAGCAAATACATTCACCTAAATGTGTTTTTAAGCCCTGCATTTTGATGATTTTACAATAACATTAACATTAAACTACAACTAGGTATATTTCTTCGTGATTAAAATAGTAAATAAAATTTCACCATTAAATATTTTATCACTAAATAATAAATACTAAAAATAAACATATTTCTTAGAAAAATATAATTCTGTACATATAAAATCAATTTTTCAGTTTTTATTCATATATGAATACCTTAAAATTATATTTAAGTGCCAATTATGTTAAAGAGTTTTTGTCTCATAATTCGTATAGGTACCTACTTGTATAAATATATTTATAAAAATGTTTTGATGTTAGTGCTAGTTATATGTGTATATATATGTTAGTTCTAATGCTGTCGTCTTTAATAATAATTAAATTATCATTTAACTGTATTATATTATAAAATATTTTACTTAATTGCATTTAAAATATTAAAATAATATAAACATATTCAATTTTTCAGCATGCAACTGTCATCCAGTTGGTGCATCCGGTAAAACATGCAATCATACTACTGGCCAATGTCCATGCAAAGACGGCGTGACTGGAATAACATGCGACAGATGCGCTAAAGGATACCAACAAAGTAGATCGCAGATCGCGCCATGCATAAGTAAAATTTAACATTTTTATAATATTAACTATAAGTTCATTAATAATTTGATTTTTTTAGAATTACCATCAAAGATTTTCGTGAACCAAATGTCGTCGGATGCTCGGGCAGCTGGAAATGAAGAAGGTGATGAAGGAGATTACGATGAAGATGACGAGGATAGCCACCACGGTATTTATTTTATAAATAATGTACTTTCTCATAATACTATAATTAACTTATATTTTATTATCGATTCGGGTTTTGAAACTTTTAATTATTCATATCAATTTTTTTACTCTGATTCATATTTTTTTTAACTAAAATGTATATTTTTATTAAAGTATTATGTTGTCACTCAAAATAAAAGTAAAAAATATAATTTAATTTAAATTTCACCCTATAACAATCTAAAATTATGAGTGACACAGCATTGTACAAAAAATATATTGAACATTTAATAAAAAATAATATATATACATATATTTATTGCTATACATCCGATTACCAAGTAATGTCAGTTTGATCATTTGTTTATTTTATATTTAATATAACAAAGAAATATATTTTTCTTTATTTTTTTAGCTACCAGCTATATGTAAATTCGAACAAAATCGTTCGAGATATCGTCCCCGAGGGATTTAAGAATTCATGGGCAAATAGCTAGGTTCGGATCGAACGGGTACGTCCAAATCGTTAATGGATTACGGGCTCGGTTCGACCAACCAAGGGGGTGTGAAGCACATTTATCAAAGTCAAATTCCTTTTTTTTTTTTTTTTTAAAAAAAAAGGAAAGAAAGAAAAGATAATCGACAACATTTAACACGTTCATCGCGATAACTATAACTACTGTAGTATAAACATGGTTCTTTTTCTTACGGACACTCATTACTCGAGCGACGGGCGACAGTTGAAGAATGCCTATAGCGACTTCTAGCAGAAAAAAATAAGACGTCATACATATATTTAAATATTTTATACAGATATATTTTAATAACGTTTTAATATTTGTTTTTCTTTCGTAAACTTTAAATACAGAGGTGTACAGAAAGATAGAAAGAGAGAGAGAGGGTGAGAGAGAAATAGTGACAGGACTAAAATACCTCGAAAATATCTAGTAGTTTAGATTATGGTGACGAGTAATATATTTTTTTTGATATCTACAACAAACGACTATACGTCTTTGAATTAAAGGAGTAATCGCATTCATCTGAGTTTACAATATTACAATTATTATATATACGCGCACAAAGATTAACAATTTTCGATTCGTCTATGTAGAAGGTAAAGACTAGTATAGATAACAACTTAATTGTTGAAAACGATGAGAGTTAACTTCTTTTCCTAGCAGACAGTCGAATATAAATAATCCCGTACGCAATTTAGCGAAGATGTTATCATCATTAAGAGGAGGCCGGAGACCTATAATGACCAAAAACCATCGATATAACATGTGTGTGTATGTGCTCGTATACATATATAAAGTGGCGTGTGCTTCGCCCCTCTGAGTTTTCGTTTGTAGAAAACCGATAGTTTTCGATCTTGGCCCACAACACATTACACGAACTGCAAAGACGACATTTATCGTATAAAACGCTATAGTGCGCTGTAGGTTTAACACTCAGAATAATAAAAATATAGACCAACCAATACAGACATATATACCCCATCGGTGATACGATTCGTCTAAAACGGTCTCGTGGGATACACATTAAAGATAACGTCAGGCACATAATGTTTACTAGAGAAAGAGAACGTATAGAGAGAGAGAGAGAAAGAGAGAGAAAGAAAGAGAGAAAGAGAGCGATAAGTGACTCTACAAAATGTATCTTATAAATTTAAAATTTAGACAAACATGTATATTGTATAGAGTGTGTATAACATTTTGCGGTGATGCTTAACGTCAAAAAACATGTTAGGTCTTCGTGTGTCGTAAGTACTCATCGTACGTCAACCTTAGATTACTTTTATATTCGTGCAGTTCGTCTGTATGTGTGTGTATATTTCTATTATTATGATATGGTGTGAAGCGTTTTGAGCCAGAAACCTGACACCGATTCGATGAGGAGATTGACAGTTGTTATATTACGCGGTGTCGTCCGTAGAAGTAATGATACATTTATGATGTGGAAGGCGGAGGGGTTAGTACACGATAGCGCTGAAACATTAAACCTACCGCGACGGTGATAACTGGGCCATTAATTTATCCACATTTATACATGGGGTGGTCTCCGTTCAACAGGTTTATGTGGCCTGAATTATATATTTCGTGTTACAACTGACGCCTGCCTATATATTATATATACATAGTATGTATGTATACGTTATAAAGCGTAGGTATTACAATAATAAAAAGAAACAATAAAACAAAATGTAACGTCCATTAAACAACGTGTACGCGCGCCGCCTCTTTGAGATTAAAAACTCATCGTAAAATCATCCCTCGCCTCAACCTTAATCCCAATGACAAATGCGACAGTACCTGCGGTCTTTCGACCGGATTTTCGTATTTACAGTTTGTAAACAAACACTTAACATACAGATATTATGTACTATAGCTGTGTTACACATATATTGGATATTTAGTATTATTATACTATTAGGTTTACACATAATTCTAACTGTACAAATAATATACACATAATGCACATATTTTAGGTATCGGCAAACGAACTATTCTTGTACATACAACATTATATAGTTTCCTTTTTTTATGGTTTTATTACAATACTCTAAATAATTATTTTAACGTATATTATAAAAAAGCTTTTGTTCGATAGATCAATGCGGCAAGTGTCGATCCGGAACCAGGAGATTAAATTTGAACAAGTACTGCCATAGAGATTACGGTACGTATAATATTATTTCAGATTAGGTTAAGATCGCATGTATACGGTCGAATGGCATAGGGGCTGTGTTAAAAATATACTAAATTGTTAGTTACATAAAAAGAGATAGATGCGAACCAAACATCAAACAGGAGTCGCGGGGATTCTTGAAAAAGACATATTATACATTACACATCAATGATTTTTAAATGTTCATACACAAAGAAATCAAAGAACTAACGCTTAATAACTTTTAACGCGTTTTTAAACACGACAAATGTCAAATACGAAGAAAAAATGTATATGCAGTATGTAGGTATAAAAAAAAAATATAAATTTTCCCTACACAGGTTTATACAGGTATATGGTTTATCTTGTACATAGGATAATAAATTGCTTGTCGAGTACACCGACAGACTTGCAGGAAAATAACAATAAAAGACACTATCTCGACGGAAACATCTACGAACTGTCGTAGGCTCGTAGGTTTATTTATATTTTAAAATTAAATTGAAATTAAAATAATATTCAAAAGACATTGTTTTATTTCTGTAAAATACTTGACAGTTATTTGGTAAACATTTCAATTAATTAATCGCGTGTTGTCTAACATCAAGCGATAAAAATATAAAATGGTATAAATTATATAGATAAATAAAATATAGAGAATGCTACCAATACTCCGACGAACTCAGAAAATTCAATATCCCTCTCAACATGAACGAAACATCAGAACCAGACACTGCAAACATCTCAAATATATTAGCTTTTCTAAGAAAGACCGACCTATGCAATAAAATTGAAATCTTCTGTTAATAATAATTATATAATATTAATGTTAATAGTAATTACATATAATTAACAACGTAATAATTGTATAATTTTAGTTATAGATACCACGCAATATGTATTAAACACAAAAACTAATAACCTTTGCTGTTGATGTTTCTTTAAGTTCAATAAAAAATAATAAAATATTGAGTTCGTGAATTGTTAATAATAAAATTTACTTATGACAATATAATAATATATAGAATTTATAGTTTATACATTCAATCTCGCATCTAAAATAATATTTGTGTGTATATAATTATTTCATTATACAGATAGTGCATTATGTTATAATAAATAACAGACATGTATAATATTTTTGTTAAAAAAATGAGATTCAATTTTATTTTTTTAAACTATATTTTTATAAATTTAGCAAAAGCATGTTAGAATCATTTTATTTGCAATAACTCTAGCAATATCTTATACTGTAGCATACAATTAAGATGCAATGCATTATAAGGACTCTCTTTTAACAACAAAATTAAGTTAGTCTCTAATTATATAAATTCTCTTAATAAATTTAAACAGTGTAATGGTTCATCATAAAATATTAAAAAAATCTGATCGTTCATTGTTATATTTATTATAATATTGGATTGTTCATTTATCAATCAAGGAAACGAAATTATAATTTTAAAATAATTTAAATAGCTAATGTGAAAAATATAGTTAACTTACACACTTTTAACGATATTTTTTATGTATAGCATTGTTATAAAACAACTATATTTTTTTTCCATAAAAAATATATGATTAAATTTGTTCTTATGTTTATAATAATACTATATTATTATTGGTATATGTTGTTTAAGGAAAATATATTTTCTTGATAATAGCTGAATTTAACCTATTATTATGAATTTAAATTTTTCCAAACATTTTATCTGAACAGTAATTCTTTGTAACAGTATACACTCATGGAGTCTGCTACTTCACTTATCTAAAGTTTATACCTAAATCTATAGACTATATGACATATGTATAACAACTTGTATCGAAATTAAAAAATATATATTTTACTTCAGCATCTGAAATTAAAATTGTATGTTGTCATTAAAAACATAAAATAATATAACAATAAAATCCTTTTTTCAGTAATTTCAGATTATGTAAAAAAAATATTTTCAAAAACATATAAAGGTACATATCTTGATATTGATTGCTTACTTTTGAAAGAATCGCCAAATATATTTTTATAATAAATATAAAATTCCATATACGAATACGGTATTCGTGTAGGTACCTACATTACTTTTCTTTGCTTTTTTACCTTTAACATGTTATACAAAAACCACAGCTTGTATATCTATATAAAATCTCCTAGGTACTTTTCTTTTTCATAAAATATGACTTTATTCTAATTAAATAAAAACTGTTTTCATTTTATGACTATTGAATATCGTAAACGTGTTAAATTTTTAAAATCAAAACATTTTTACGAAAACCAATCATCTTGATGGCAATATGTACGAGTACAAATATAAAATTCCTACGCGACGGAACATGATGAAATTGTAATATCAAAAATACATACTTGTATATATATTTTATAAAAAATATAATCATGTATATTTTCTATATTTCTATAATAATATAAATAATATTTATTACACGATCAAACACCAGACAACTACTATAAATCTACGTTCGCTGATCAGTAGTATATCGATGGATATACCTACCAATGTACCTATATATAATAATACTTTTTTCTGTGTATGTGTAAATATTAAATAAATTACAAAAAAAATTAAATAAGTATTTTAGTGACTTTGTCTTATGTAGAATAATAGAGAGTGGTTCTTATAAAAGTAAAAATAAAAAATTCAGTCATTCTAAACGAAATTATTTTTTTTTTGTAAATTTATGATAACTACATAGGTACAATAAATGAGAATTATAACGTCTTTTATTGTTAAACTTATGTTTGTTGTAATGGGTAAATCCACTATATTATATGTTTTTAAAAGACGCTACCAATATTTTTATGACCATTTAAAAGTAAAAAATAATTAGTGGATTCACCGACCGTTGCTTAAATAAAATACATTTTTATACGTATATTATATTATAACCACGGTGTACCATAATTTTTAATAATAATAATGACAATATAATATCACACATTCTTTGTACAGCGATATTGGGCAAAATGTCGGAACCGATAGTGTCTAAAAACTGGGCCAAGTTTACGATGAACGTACAGTCGGTGTACAAGCGCGGCCAGGCATCGAGACTTCGCAGAGGACCGACCACGTTCTGGATACACGACAACGACCTGAAGTGCAAGTGTCCCAAGATCAAACCCGGAAGGTGAATATTTTCTTAATATTATTGTTATGGGAATCGCGCACGACGCGATGTACCGTAATTGCATCGGATAATAAATTCTTATCGTTTCACACGTAGGCTTTACCTGATTCTCGGCAAGGAGAACGACGGCGAACGGCGCGATGGACTGGTGTTGACGCAGAGATCGATAGTGATCGAGTGGCGAGAAGAGTGGCACAACCGCATGCGGCGGTTCCAGAAGCGAGCTCAACACTGCGATTAAAAGAAAACATAAAAAAAAAAGGAAAAAGTCACTAAAAATTACAATATATACCCTCAGAGTGAAATCACCTTCACGATATATGTATACATATATATCACATATACCATAACTATACCATCGTCCCTCCACTGTCTCAACCACCGCCATTGCGCCAACTTTTTTGTTCCCTCTGGGCTTCTATAATAATAATATATACGATACGAGTCTCCCCTTATTATATGATTCTTTTCGTCCTTATTTTAATACTAGATAGGTAGGTACGTAGATAGGATACTCTTCGTCAGTAATATATTATTATTATTATTATTATTATGTATACAGCCGATTATTTATTATGTCTATGTAGACGTTAATCGTTTTAATTCGTCGACGTGTGGTGTAATGTTAGGTGTGTGCGTGTATATCGTTTGAGTATTATATAGAAAGAACGCCACGGCGTAACCGGTAGACACATATTATACTATGACCACTTATCTATCACCCATTCACAATATTATGTTAAACATTAAATTTATTCACAATATTACCAATATATTAATATCATGTACCTACGTGTTTCTTATAACTCTTAAGTCATTAGGTTAGCGTCGAGTGCGTTTTTCGTTTATTCGTTTAAATACAATAACAATTATAATTGGACATTTTTATTATATACCTTTATATATTAGAAATGTTTATAGAATATATTCAATAATAAGTACTCTTAGCGCGTCCGCATACACATTTATATAAGCATATTATAGCAATAATAAACAATTCCATTATATCTATTATTATTATTACTAGGTACTATACGATAGTATTTTATGAACTATTTAATAATTTTAACTATTATCTACAACCAAGTGTTCTAGAACCAAACAACTATTCCTCTTCTCGTGGTGTACGGTAAATGTAGACACGCTGCTTTGATATAGGTATAAGTAGGTAACCCATTGGCTATCACATTGGATAGGATGAGTGTCGTCCACGAAACGTTCACTGCAGCGGGGTCGCTTATTTTGATCGGCGCCAGTCCGTATATTGCATAGTTCACTGATAAATACCTGAATCAAAATATCTTTATAGTCATCTCATTAGAGTTTTTGATGTTCAAATTTATATATAGTATATGAAATATTTATATAATACGTGTATGCCATAATATTGTCATATAATATATTATATTATATTCAGTCCTTATTATCATTATATTATTATTATTATTATTATTATTATTATAGTTATAGACTATAGTTATCCTTAATATAAGTAGTTATTAGTATCTTATACAACATCGGTAATTCCTATTAATTTATGTTTTAAGGTACCTTGGTTTTCAATTTTTTTTTTTTTTTTAATATATAAATATATATTATACGCTTATTTTTTTTCTTTACTGCGTGTTTGATACTTGTAAAGTGTACGATTATTTTATTTTTGTTTATTTTTTATTTATAAATGAAAAGTTTTTTTTAATAACATATTTTATTTTATATTTAAACAACTATCTACTTATCCACTAGCATACAAAAAAAAAACCCCATAATGTAAATATAATTATTATGAATATTTAATTATTTAATAATAATAATTTTTACAGAAAAAAGAAACAAATTGTATTAATACATATTTATTTTTTTTTTATATTATTATATTTGTTATTTATTTTGTGTTATGTACATTTTAATCATCTTCCTCACCACTCTAATTTATTTGTAAAATTTCACTGTAGAATGATGTATAATCTTTTTTTCTATCCAAATAATAAAAGTTTTTCGTGGTTACAGCAGTTTTCACAAAATTTTCTTTTTGCTGTTTTATAATATTATCGTTGAATTTTTATGTAATACGAAATCACCTTACAAAAGATTTTTTTAACTACAATAGCTAAACACAACAAAAAAAAAAACAATGCATCATAATTAAAATTTATTAAATAGTATGGAAAATAATGACAAATCTGTGAACTACAGTTTATCCTAATGATCTAAAATTCTGTTTTGCATCGTTGGTATATTATGAGAATGGGGGGTGGGTGTAAGATATGTACATTCAAGCAAATGATCGGGGCCTATGTATAATATGGACAATATAGTACCGTGAATCGTAGAAGGCTTAATAATTGATACATATATTATATACACCTACAATCTATGTATAGTTCGCTTGCTAACAAATTATTGGAACCATCGTTAAGGCTTAACGAATGCGTGTTTAAGGAAGTTAAAGGAGGTAGTCATTTCCACACATAGTTGGTTTTTGAAAGTTATAATTAATATTTATGTAACTAAACTATTGTTGCAGATTACATTAAATTAATAAAAACTTTTATGATTAATAGATGCATAGATAGTATTTACTAGTAATCAGTTAAATGGTAACATTTATTATATTTTATACCTAGTCTTAGTATGTGGATAGAATTGTTTATTCATAACCTCTTGAGAATACGTTATACCTACAGTGTGTTTTTCGTCTAACAGGCAATAGTAAATTTTAAGATCATTATAATTCATTTTACTCTTTGGTTTTTAGTATTAAATTAATTTAACATATTATCTAATTTAAACATAGGAATATTATTTAAGGTGAATTTTTTTTTGTTATTTTAATTTTAAGACATTTATGGTTTTAGTCCCCCTGCTCATTCCATCTACAAATGGTTCTAGAGATGCTCCTATCATAGTCATAAAGTGACCAAAGCCAAAATTACTATGGTACTTCGTCAAAGCACTATGATAATTTATTGAAGTCAAAATGAACCACTTGCAAAAACGGCACCCGATCACAAACGAGCACCGAATGTGTTTAATAACTTAATTATACATGAATAAATAATTTAAAAAATTAATATTAGTCTTTTACAATAATAGAATCCTTGTTCAGTCCACCAATCCTTACGTTCCTTATTTGTTACCTTGGTCACAAAAATTAATATTAATTATCAATTAATTTCTTATACGTTGCATTTTAACAATAATCAATGTTACAATAATATTATATAAATGACATAATCGAATATTATAGTTTACTTTCAGAAATAAAATTATTTTTAATTTTTATCAGTCATGACTACTGCAATTTAATATTAAAGTTTATAATTTATATGATATAGAAACCTAAAAATAAAACACAATTAAATAAAGGTTTTCCTACTTAATTTTTACATATACGTAGAAGTGCAATTCAATAGACAATAAACTTGTAGAACGATAATCCCATGGCGTCGTAGATAGGCTACAAATGTTACAGCTATACATTTATTAGTTATCAAAACACCATATTACAATTATTATTATGATATTGTCAGCAGAAAATTAAACGCAATAACGCACTCTTAAGAATCATAAGGTAGGTTATTTTTGTAATATAAATTGAACTGACAATATACGTCAACACCAACTATATAGTCTGTAAACAGTGTAAACTATGGTAATATTTTACAAATAGAATATTATAGACTATGTTTCTTAATCATCAATTTATAACTGATTATTTTACTAAAATATTATTGTTGTATTGATAAAATACAATGTAAGACGTAGGTAAAAAAGGAATATACTGATTTAAAAACAAGTTATTAATAATTTATTTATTATTCACGGTTCACCGACAATATATTTTTATATTTTTGTTTTTATTACTTTTATATATTAAAGAATGTAACACATATTTTAATATTTTTTAAATGTTAAAGTATTAATACTTACATTACGTAGATTGAATAATGTTTATAAAATTAATTTAATTGTAATTCAAAAATATTATTCTCTAAGACATGAAATATTTACATACGGGACTAAATTTTGTATAACATAACGACATTTTCAAAACTTTTAAGTTTAGTTTTATTATTACAATAATTAACAATTTAACAAATGCTATGGTTTTTAAAAAACTAATAGAATTTACTTTTTCATCTTTATTCGCCCAGTGGTGATGAGATAAATTAGCGATAAGTCAATGTTTGGGTTAAGTATATCTTCATGCAGGGGACGTCTCGTGCAGGCTCTCACCATGCCCCTCATTTAATCTACTAACTATTATAATTGTATTGTTTGTATTAGTATTATTAATAGTAAAACTTACTATTATATAATACAACATTTTTTTCAACCCATAAATTGGTTTACTACTTTAGTTTTCCATTCTAGTCATTTACTTGCCTTTTATTAAAATTTTAATTCCTTCATCATTTTGAATGTATACCCTAGATACACGTTACAAATTTACAATGAATAATAAAATATAAATAAAAATATTTATCTTTTGTCTTTTTAGTAATTATTATATTATTTCATTTAATAATTTAAGACAACCATAGTTGTACAATTTTTAAAAAGTAAGTGGCTAAGAATGATACATAAATAATGGATAATAGAAATGATTTTCATTTAATAAATAACAATTCCTTTATAAATTATTTTTAAATAGAATAATACTTTTTATAGTAAGTTTATTTATATTATTTCTTGCATAGCACAGACAGTGAAGCCTAAAACAAACACCTCTAAATAACAGTGGTTTTTTTGGAATCTGGGGCATTTTTACTACTTTCCAATGAGAAAACCTTTGAACATCAGATACCTATTTTTATCTTAATTTAAACATAATAATATAATACAAAAAAAAAAAAAAAAACTCATACTAGTGTAAAGCCGCATTCCTACAACTGATGTACTTGCCAATTACACCAATAATTGAGCATTTGTACAAGTAGCCAAGCACACTGTTTCTACAACTAGTGTACTTGCCAAATACACCAATAATTGAACACTTGTACAAGTAACCAAGTACACTGTTCCCACAGTTGGTTGTTAAATATTGGTAGTGGAGGCTAGTGGCGTAATTTAGAATATCTTATTAAGAGGAGAGATAAAAAACAACAAAATATAAATAAATAAATACAGAATATGGGGAATCTATCCCCCCCATAATTATGCCCATGGTGAAAGCCACATTTTAATAATAATTAATACTTTTTTGTTTTAAAAAAAAATTAAAAATGATTACATTATAAAATATTATTTAATATTAGTACTCATTAACTTTGGCTTTATTGAATCTGGAACAAAGTTAGCACACTACTGTTTTTCCTAGTTTACAAGAACCAGTCCTGAGATCAGTAATACAAGTATACTGGTTGTTCCTTTGACTTCTGTCACATTTACCAACCATTTTTGGGAATGGTATCAGTGACCAATAATATTGTACAAATATGCCGATTTGACAGCATGGCAAGCAACCACCAGTACCAAATATTGGCCAAGTACACCAGTCGTGGAAACGCGGCTTATCAATAATAAACTTGTTCAAAATCAGATTTTTTCACACTAAATTGAATTGTATTTATATATGTATGAAATATGCATTCCTTTTTTAAATATTTATTTTAATATATGTTGTTAAAATATTAAAATAATTATATTACTAATACATTAAATGATATCATAATTTAATTTAATGTTTTTTTTTCTTTTTGCACATTTACTTTTTCTGAATTTCAATAATTTACCCTCTCTAAATAGTAGAAAAAAAGTTGGTCATTGAAAGTGTGTGCTGTTTAGAGGTTTTACCATAACACATGTCATAAATACCTATATAAAATAAATAAACAACAAAATAAAAATATATCATAGACATGACTAATATAAGTATATAGCTAAAAAGCTATTGATATTACTTTACATACTTTAATAATTAAACATCACTGGTAGAATAAAACCAAATTATTTAATTAGTAAAATGTATACATTTTTTAATTTGATTTATTATGACTTGTGATTTTAACTAAATATTGGACTTAAAATAAAACTATAAATAACCAAATGAAAATTCCGATTCCCATCATTTAATTTAATTTAAAATGTTGAGGAAAGTGGTAAGAAATATTATATTATATAATATGTAGATATAATAAAGAGATTAATTTTTTAAGTATAAAAAAACTTTAGAATTACTTTATTTATTTTTACAAAATATCCAATTATTAACAATTATAATAAAATAACATTTGAATATCAATAATATTAAAAAATATAGAAAAATATATTTAACATAATTATTGCAAGTTAAATTTGAATATTTTAACCAGATATCACGACAAAGCAACCACTACATTTGCAATCAATAGAAGAATAATTATCACCCAAAGTCCTGTAAATAATATAAAATAGTGTTATTATACTTTACATTATATAAATATCAATTATATACCTCGAGTTGAATCTTTTTTTAATATCTGAACTACTTCTTTGGTCTCGTTTTCAATTCCAGCTGTTGTTTTGTCCATCTTTACTAATAGGTCATCGACTAGTTCTATAATAAAATTTTATAAAATTTATAGTCAATCACAACAAATTATATTTTATACTGACCGTTTTGTAGATCGACTTCACTGCTTATGGTAATAGCAATATTTTTCTGTCTAGATACAATCGATGCCAATTCATTTAATCCATCGTCTTGTTCTGTATAATTTTGAGTATACAATGTACATCACAATTCATAATTTTATGATTTTTATGTAAAAATCTAAGATTACAATTGTAATACTTTTTACTTCTTACCTTTGAGCAAATACTGTTGCTGTTGTTTAAGTTCTTTTTCATTAAGTAATGGTTGTTTATCGTCATTATAGTCATCATCATCACTGTCCAGCCAACCAGTAGTTGATATTTCAGTTTTTTTGGCTTTACTGATACTAGGTCGCATCAACTCCTGACGTTCTAGTGTATGACTATTATTCCTAAAAATAATATCATGACAATAAATTTTAAATGATTTAAAAATTATATACAGTTTGATATACAGAGTATTCTCACCCCTATTTTATTTCCATTAATAATTAATTTACTAAAATTTTAATTTTGAGAAATTCTAAATATTATACTTAAAGATAGTAGTTTTAAATTATTCAAAGCTTTTGTACTACTTAAGGAAGATATAAAGTTCTGTTTTTAAAAAACAAAAACCTCCCTTACCTAGTGTTAAATATTAAAAAAATAAAATGAATGTAACGATACAAAATTTGAATGAGTAGTTTCTCTATTATTAAAATGCTTACAATAAGAATTAAAGGGCCCTAAAATGGTTTAAAAAAATGTAAATTAGATGAATTATACTATTAAATCTAATATTTATTATTATAATTAGAATATTTTCATAAATTAAAAATGTTGGTTATTGATAAGTTAATACTAATTACTAAAATTTTGTTATATCTTCCAAACCCATAATCATAGGAACCCTTTATCTACAGTATAAAAAATTCAATAATTCAAATATTGATATGTCAACATTTTTAGAAAAAATATCTACTAAATAATTTACAGTAGAAAATAAGGATACTTGGATTATTCATCAATAATTATTGTAAAAATAATATTGAAATAAATAGTTTAAAAAATATATTACCGATTTTGAAAACGTTGATTTAATATAATATTTCTGCTTTGAAGTAACTCAACCATACGTTGACGTCGTTCTTCTTCGTCCAGTGTACTATGTTAAACAACTCAGGAAAATTTAATAGAAAATTATAAAATCACTTAAAATTGTAATTTCTTATCAAAGGATACACGGCTTTAGATGTTGCTAGTCCTCTAAGTTTATAAGACAACTGTTGGACTTCATCAGTAAATTGTTTCAGTCTAAGTCGCACTTGAGATGAATACAAAACATATTTTTCGGAAGACTTATGTTCTAGTTCTCTCACATTTAATAATCCTTCAATTTCTCTGTATAGTTTCTCGCATGACTCGTGTTCAATCAACCTGAAAAAATTATATTTTTTTTTTTTTGTATGACAAAAATTATTTGCAGATTCTAATTTACTATAATATATGAATTATTTTTCAAAATACATTTTTTATAAAGATAACTTGGTATATAGCTACAACTATCAATAAATATTTTATTACAGCTTAGAATTCTTAATTATATAATACGAAATAAATACACGTGCTTACTATAGTTATCGTTAAGAAGATATTAGATAATAGTCAACTAATCATTAGACAAGTACCAATTTTTATAAAACTAATAATTCAAGAGAGACAAAAATGTCATTTAAGAAGGTAAAGATCATGATCAACTAATGATAAGTCCCTACCACAATAAACTTAAAAACTTGACTATTTCTAGTTGAATGAATTGTTGTTTCGTTTATAGTATTAGGTAAAGATTGTTTTATTTTGTACAAAGTTAGAATTATGTCTCTGCAACAAGTATAATGATTCTGGGTAACTGAGTTTATAGATATATCATTAATATGTAAATAATGTATACTAATTTAATAAATTGAAAAATTTTAATACTTTTTCACAACATACACTATAAATCAAAAATATCGAACTTAACTTTCATGAAAAAATCCAAGTACAAAAATGAATCTATTAATTAAATTTAGTACAAACGTAAATAACAACACTCTTTGATTTTAACCTACTATTGAACTATCAATGAAGCAGCAACATAAAGTTCAAAAAATGTAATAGCTCATTTTAATCGACTTACCATGGATCGTTGTCAGTGAACACGAGAGCCATGACTATGTATAAAGCGTCTCAGAAGGTCATTGCTCGACGCATTAAAGACAGTGGTTTCGCCTGAAAACTCGTTCGTGTACACCAATATCTGTTTAGGCCGTTTAAAATATATTAAAATTTTGAATTTTTAAATCATGATTCGTTCAGTAATTCGGAACAATTTTACCTTAGACAGTACTAACAAAAACTTAGCATGCAGTACAGCAAATGCTCAGCAGTCAGAATCTCAGGACTCGGTTACTAATTCAGTCAGTCACATACCCGCATCGTAATTCGTGTGCACTATGCAGGAGCCAGGAAGTTCACATCACGCACGCAAGGTTCATGATAATAATAACTGATAAGACGTGTTTTTCGGCGTTATCTCGGTTGGCCAGTGGCCGTGATAAAGAACGGCTGTTTTTGTCCCGCGGCCGGCCACCGTCGTTATCTGTTGCCATACACACACACAATGTACGCTCCGTAGTCGCCGCCACCATACAACACCTTACATTACCAACGCGCCGCCGACGACGTCACGACGATCCATTTCACCTCCCACCGCTCCGACTGACTACAGACCGCAACGTTCTGAACGTTCTACTCATCTACTCCTCCACAATCCTCGTGAGTCGTGATCGGCGCGCGCGCTGGTCGGATCAATTATCGTTTTCGCGTATTTAACTTTTTTTCCCTACCAACCCACCGCCTCGATCATCGTCACTCGACAGTTCTCAGTTGAGCTCTTCGCAACGAACGTCTGCTTTCGTCACCGTGTACTATTGTCCGCGGTGTTTTTTAGGTACATTCACTTTTCGCGCCGCCGACGCATAGCTACACAAATCGACACGTCGGTCGACTTTCGACGCGTTTTCTCCTGGGTCATGCGAACGGCGTTCAAAGAGACTAGGAAAAAAAATGTCCGATTCTAGCCAACAATATGTTAGTGAACACTTTGGTCCATTAAAGTTCCGTAGCTTCCGCCATGCTTCTGCTCGGTAGACGCAAAATGGAACAATAGTCGTGCCTACCACAAATCGCTTACTGATACCAACCGACAGTGGACACCAACTATCAACTAACCCCTCGCCATCGTACTACGGCTAAAACTACACGTGCAGTAGGTAAGTGAGATCCGAAATGCCTTTGTAGTTTGTCTTAATAGCAATGTATTCTGGTTGTTTTATTTAGTTTTAAATACCATCGAGTTTGAGTGACCACAATTTGGTCTGCCGTTGAGTGTCTATTAGGTATCATCGACTTATAGACCACCATAACACAAATACTTACACTAATTCGTATTTGACCCTTTCTTATTATTTATTAATTGTACCAAACTTATCAATACTACATTTACTGTTTACAAATCAGGATTAGGTATCCATGAGTTCAACTAAGACTTAGAAAATAATAGTTTCGTACTTAACATAATTTCCTTAACTATATAATAAGTACTAAATCTCTATTTACTAATTATTATTTAAAAAAGACAAATAAGTAAATATTCTATTACAATTTATCATTAATAGTAGGTATTTATTTGTTACCTATCAAACATTTTCAAAAAACATCTTCATTTGTGTTAAGTAGGTCCGTGTAACTTTTCAAGCTAACATACATAATATCATAGTTTTATTGTGGTGTTAATATCAAAAGTTATTATGTTAATGATTGAAAATATCTGTTCTCCAAAGTGGAGTATCAAGCTTAAATATTTTAAACAAACCTTTTGCAAGATCGTACCAGGTAAACTGTTAAAAGAAGTATAACAAAAATATAACATTAAAACAGTATTTGTCTTTAAAACTTTTTTTTTTAGTTTTTGTTAAAATTACAAAGATAAAAATATTAAATTAAACACATTTTACAAAACTAATAATAGATTACTAACATTTAATTACCTATAATATTTCGATTAATATTGTAAGAATGAGGTGACAATTTAAATTCTTGTCTCTATCTTGTAGATAAATGATCGGGTGAGATAATTAAAAAAAATTTCCTTTGATAATAAATGAGTACCTATATAGTTATGTGCTAAATTATTTTTTAACAGCATTTTTAATTCATTATTTTATTTTAGGTGGGTATAAAATTAAAATTGTTTTTCAAATCAATATAAGAAGTATTTTATGGAATTATCAGAAATGAATCTAACTTAATTTAATACCTACTTATAAAACAATTGTTGTATTATTCTTTTAATAATAATAATATTTGTAAATGTTATGTAATAGCAACAGATAGTGTCTTTAATTTATAATTGAAAATATAGGTATTCAAAATTGATGTTATTGTTTTAACAATAAAAATACTATACTATAAATAAGCAAGTACCTAAATTAATAATTATCATTTACTGATTTATATAATATTAAACAAACATTAAATTATTTATTTATTTTATCTAGACTAATTATAAATTAACAGCTGTCTTTATTTAATTCGAGATTTAATTGGTGTTTTAATAAATAATAATAGATACATAAATCAGTTTATTTGATGCATTTGTAATTGCTCATTACAAAATTATATTGCCTGATTATAAAAAACATATAGGGTCTTTAGATGCTTATGTAATATTCACTATTAAACAAAATATTATAGTTTATTAGTCTTATTTTATCCATATAGGTTAGGTTGTGGTCAATTTTCTATTTAAGTTATTTATAATATTTAAAATTAAAATTCTTTTAAAATATAAATGTAAACTTGATTAGAAATGAAAGATTATATATATATATATATATTATAAAGGTTTTTTTTTTTTATTGTAATAATTTGAGACAGTAAATCAAATTATGATATTACAAAATGTTTCTAATTTAAAAATGTTGTATATTTTATCTGAGCTTATACATTTAAACACAAACTATTATTGAAAAAAATGTATTAGCTTACATTCCTTATTATTTTATCTATAGGCATGGGTTTAAAATTAAAAAACATAATCAAATCATAAAAAAAAAATTATCCACATAGTACCTACACAATTGTGGTATTGATAATTAATATTTATATATATATCGTGTACTTAAGTACTTTATAGATATTATCTTGATTTCTAAACAAAATACCTACCTAAAACTATATAATGCATTTTGATTGGTTTGTGTAACAAAATCGTCAATAATCATCTGTGCAAATGCAACCATATGTGATATGAAATTTTTATTAAATATATTTATCCAAGAACGTAATAAAAAACAACTTATAACCTACCAAACCAACTACGGCTAACAACTTGGAAAAAATAGTAGCTTTTAAATAAATTACTCTATTAGTACATAAAGTTCATTTTATAACATTTATTCATTAAAATTATTTCAATAGGTTATTAATAATTATTGTCAATTATTTTTAAAAGAATCTAATAAATACATTATGTGTTGTTTTTACCTATATCAACTATATTATGCTTCAAATAGGTTATCAATACAAATTGCTGTATTTATTCTCGTTATATTTAAATTAAACTAATACTAAAAAAATAGCACCTACATTAATATAAAAATCTGTTACCAAAAAACATAAAAACAATATTAGGCACCCAACTGATACTAGTGATACTTATCTTTTTTTAAGCAGTAAATTGTTTTAAACAACACTATATAATATAAGTTATTTTTTAGTATAAACATATCATGGTAAATAAAAAAATTTATTAAAATATTACCTATAATATTATTTTATATAAATTTGGAGTAATTGCAAATTGGTCAATTTAGTATTTACTCTAATAATTTTACATTGATTATGATTTATGTGGAACATAAGTTATGTTGATATCTTGGTTAAAATATTATGATAGATATATTGTTTCTTCTTATTATTACTTAATTTATGTCATAATATTATCTATATCATAGTTTAAGTTGGAGATCAAGTTATAAATGATAATTATAATCTTTATAATAGATACCTAATGTTTAATATAAAGAATCTCAAAATTAGACCTATTATTCTAATTATTAATTTCAATAAAAAAATTTCCATTAATTGTCAACTTTATTTAACAATAGATTAAAAAATGTATTAGTATTATAAGGAAAATACATTGATAAATCTATTTAGTAGACACTGTAAATAACAGTCAAGATATAGTAACAAAAAAATTATTTTTACAAAATGTATTATATATTAGTAGTGCACTTACAGATAATATTAGAATAGAGAAAACTCAATCCACCAATATAAAAATAAAAATACAGTTTTACAATTATGTGAATCCAACAGTAATGATAAAATTAAAAAACTATAAAAAATTGTGAACTTTAACTGTATTTAGTATGTGAATAGTCATCATTCAGACATTTAAAATTAATTTAATGCACCTAAAATGTTGAACTTATATTAGTTTTAATTTTGTATGTACTACAATCTAAAAATTTTTGTTAAAAAAAAAAAGAAAATGTTTAAACACATTTTTTAATCAATAACTTTTACCTATTTACTATAATAGTATTATTTTCAAACATTTTAAACCATTTTAAAATATTATAATTACATTCAAAAAAACTAAAGATTATTAAATATACCTACGTTTTTGTTATCTACATTCTTATATTTATTAATGAATATTAAAAATAATGTTTAAAATTGATTATGTATTTATTTCATATTCTGAGTAGAAATTTGATATAACGTTCATCATATTATAATCTATTATTTTATCAAAGAATATAAACAATTACATTTCGATTAAAAATTAATTCCTCATTTCTTCCAGTTTCATAAAATATCTGTCTTAAATATTACATTGTATTAAAGTTTAATATTCATACACCTTATTTATTGATTACCTTCCTATAAGCATGTGTGTTATCTGAAGTTTTAAGTGAATTTCAAAATTATGATATTATTAACATAAAAATAATTTAAAAAAAATCATCAAATGTCAGCTTTTTCCACGCACTAGGTACAAAATTAAATCACAAGTAGCTATTGTTCAAGTTATTTGATTTCTATAGGACAATCTGGATAACAATGTATATTTTTAAAGCTAAAATAATCTCATTTTTTTAATGACATTAAGAATAATTTATTAAAATCCTTGAGATATATTCTATTTTATAGTATATTAACTGCTCTGTATTAATATTAAAATAATGTATTTTATAAAGCTTAAAATATATTAATAAATTATATTAACTAATGTTTACTTTTGTTTAGAATGGCATCTAGTAATAATACAGATACAACTGATACTATAGAAGTTATCACACAACGGGCTATAACACAATCAAATCCAATATTTTTACAAACCACTGCTGCCCAAGTGATTGCAGGATTATTTGTTTGGACAGCAGTATTTGTTACATGCCAACAGGTAAAATGTACCTTATATTATTTGTTTTTTAAGATAAAAATTATTTATTTTAAGTTGTTTAAAATGTTTTAAACTCCTTTTAAAAATAGATTAGGTATC